GTGAGCACATGCTCCAGATACATAACTTGGGTGTTACTGTGTCTGGCTCCAGAGCATAAAATGCCAAGCAGGGGATCGAGGGAGGGGGGCAGAGCTGTTTTGGAAGTGAGAATGCACAGGACAAAGCGTTAATGGGGAGGTCCATAAATGGGAACAGAGGCTAGGATGCAGCACATGAAAACAGAGAAACTGGAGGTGTATCTGTTGTGCAAGAGAGTTAGAAATAAAGGAAAACCAGAAAGGGTGAGAAGGAAGACTTGCAGAGAGCTTAGGAACAGGGTAAGGAGAGCTGGAGGAAAAGGCCATGGGAGAGCCTTCTGTGATTATAGAGAAAGATCTTTCAAGTTGAAGTTACACAGCTTGATGTACAGGATTTAAAAGGATGTCATACAAATTATGAGTCACGTTTTTTGAGCAAGCAGTGCTGAGCAAATCTGGTAGCGGTTTCAGTGCAGGGAGGAGTGATGTGCTCAAGAAAGTAAAGAAGGGCTGTTCTTTTAGGGCTTCAGTATCTGTATTTCTTCTACTTCAGTGCTCTGTGTGTGTGTTGATTTTTTTCAAGGAGATGTGGTTTGGGGGGGATTGGAAGAAAACAAAGTTTTGGAAAAAGAATTGAAAGAAAAAAGACTTAAGTTAAAAGACCAGGGCAAACCCAAGCCAATTGTTTAATTTTCAACTGATAGTATTACTACAGTCATCTTAAGAAGTTCTGCTGATTTATGATTTCTAAAATGATAACAAACCCAAAAATGCTAGTTAGAAAAAAATTGTAAATATTGTTTTCCTCTGTAGGTATACTGATGTTTCAGAGTCTTGCCATTTTATCCTCTTAGTATTGCATAATGCAGGCAATTCATGTTTTCCAGAGCTTCTCAATTAAGTTAAGTGTTCAGAAGTTTCCATGACCTTTAGGTTTCTTTGTCCTCTATGTTGTTTTGCAGAGAGTGTGATAGACTTTGTGGTTTACTTCCAGTGTAGCCTTTTTTCTATGGAAAAGATGTCACAATGCAAAAAGGCCATGGTTTTGAGTTGCGTTTTTGAGCATTTAATACAATGCTGATTTGACATAACTTTTTTCTAAAAATGTCTTAACATACAGGCTTAAGTAGCTCATGAAAAAATGGTCAGCAGCAAAATATCATCATTTAAAAAGTATCATTAGGCTGAATATATGGAAAAAACAAGTTGAAGAAAGAAGATCCCCTTAGAGGAGTTTGTTGCAGGATATAGAAGAGGGCACCTATATCCCATATTCACTACCGTAATTGATGTTCACTGTGCTTATGGTTCTTGCTTCGATTTTACCTGTCACAGTATGTATGACTTGCTGGAAAACCTTCTGTAAGGGTTAGATTGTCCTCTTCAGCCAGATCTCTGAGAGTTCATGAACGCAAGTCTCTGTTCTTCACTGAGATTTTGGAGGTTTCTCCAAAACTTTATGGTCTAATGAAGGTTTCTGAGGACAATGGGCATCAACCTGCTGAATGAACGAATCCCAGCTTCACTGTGACCTGACAAGGTGGAGGCTGGCGTTGGAAAAGGTGGCAGGTGGAGACCTTCCAAGGAAGGGTGCACAGGCTGCCACAGTAGGCACAGGGCTACATTCATATGCTCTTTACTGTCCAGGCCTAAATACTTCACATCTCTCTTCCTGGAGTATAAACAGAGAAACCTCAGGTCTGTGTGCTCCTGCCTATGTAGGCATGTATTTAGAAGCCTGAGCTTATTTGTCAGAGCTATTTTACTCTTTATGAGTAACTGAACACTAGCAACTACTCATGTCAGAACACTGATTAATAGACATGTATATGTAGGTGTATATACATATAGCCAGTCCTTCCAATGCCCCTGCCCTGAATAAAGAACCCTTACCCCTGGTGTTGCTTAATACTTAGTAATTATGAAGCCTCAAGGTCTTGTTTATACATGCCAGCTCCAGTCTGGTGTTTTGGTCCATGTTTGTTTTCAGCATGTCCATCAAGGCCTTGCATTTAGTCTAAGTGCATCAAAAGTTCTGAAAGCAAAACGTCACCACTGACAAGTTGCCCCCGCAACGTTGTAAACGTGCATATTTTCCTGCAACCTGATACAAAAATGCCCTGTTGGCAAATAATTTTTTTGAACTGAATTTGCTTGAGAAAATACAGTAGATTGTGGTGAATCTACACCAGTGCATGTAATTCTTTTATGTATGAACAGTGCAGTAAAGAACTAAGAAAATTCAGCTATCATTTTGAAGAGTTGTGGTATGAACTCTTATTAATAAATACATATAACTCAAATGTGTCTGTGTATATACATAATCAAAACTTGTATGTAAATATGTCCATATGAGAGAGAATGAGAGTTAATAAGAAAAAAGATCAAAAAACAAATACAGAAATAGAACAACTAAATATAATAAAATAATAATACTGCTGTAAGGAGAGGACAAGCCTCTGCTACATATACTTCTATTTCTCTTAAATGATTTTTAGATGTATATATTAATGAGAATCCTTTTCCCGAAACCGCTCAGAAGATTCTGTTCTGCAGAAGCCTTTATTCTGCACCCTCTGTTCTGCAGAGGGTGAAACCTGTGAAGGAATGAATTTGAATGTATTTGGGAGATTTTTTCTGTGTGTAAAATACATGCAAGCATTGTAGTTGTTGTCCCTCAGACTCCCAGTCAAGGAGCTAATATATTAATAGCCTGGAATCCAAATTGCTGTATGAAATGATTCCTGTTGGGTTAGTGTATAACACTTTTCTAAACTTAAATGTGTTAGTTTTTCCAATGCTGTTTTGAAGAAAGGGGGTTTATTTTAGCTTTAGGGGAGAAGTGTTGTCACAGTGAGGCTCTCTTCTTTCACATGTGGAGACCATGGTACAAGGAGGAACTGAAACCAAGCCCAGAATTGGTGTTCTCTGCACTAAGGCATCTCTCCTCTGATTAAAGATGTCTCTTGAAAATTGTTATGCTCATCTACATTGATGTATGACTGCTACTGAAACTCTTGTCTGTTAAATGTGTTCCCAGCCTCCTGTCTGACTTACAATGTCGACCTCTTGTTATTTATTCCCCCACCTCGATTCTCAGGTGGATGTGTTATGGGTGTGGAGCTGAATTTATAAACATTTTATGCTGCTGAAAAGAATAATAAATACAAAGTTTTGGCAGTGTTATTGGAAAACTGGTTTAAAAATGTGTTTGTTTTCATACTTGGTGAATTTGACTAGGCCAAGAGTTCACCCCTTTTCTGATTTTGAAACTGTACCTTTCTTTGCTTTTCTGTACGTCATTCCTAATCAATTTTTTATCTGTAATGATCTTTCTAACAGTAATAGTGTGTTCATTAGTCTGAAAACATTGTTTTCATGCAGCCTGGGTTGGAGGAGAGGTTCTTTGGCTAGTTCCATTTTTGTTTTGACTTCTGCATAGACTAAAATTGAACTTGGTCCTCTTTCCCAACCTGTCAAGACAGGGTCAGATCTTGGTACATTCGCTTTATGTTTAAAATAGCTAAAGGTCTGAATGTTATTTTTGATGACTGCTTTGTAGCCTTTCCCCATCATAGAAGAGGCCAGTGTCTGATCTAAGTTAATGGTGTAATCTCTGTCAATAAAGGTTAGAAACCTTCTGAATGTTTTCTCTTACTTAACATAAGTATGTCCTTCGGTTGCTATTTTATGTGTTATTTTCATTTTGCCTGCTTCCTAAGTTAAGTGACTGATAGTTAATTGTAAAGCATCATTTCTTTGGAGAAAATGGCAGTGAGACAGAAGGAAAGATTTTTCACTTTTAGCATTTAGAGTCATAAGTATGTGTATGGGGGAAAAAGGATATTCATGCCTATGTGGGTACATTCATGATGAGTTGCACATGTAAACATGCTTAAATCTTTCCAAGCTTTCTTCTGCTTTAGCAGGTTGTCAATTCAAATAAGGTATCCTAAAAATGACGTTTTAGCTCTTGTCATTGTTCGCTGGCTTATGTTATTTAAAGATACCTCAGTCCATACTTCAATACTCAGGATGTACTGAATAGTAGCAAGAGTGACACAAATTTTCTTATCCAAACTGATACAAGCTATTCTGATGAATGCTAGAGCACTTGAATATTTGAGATGGATTATCTTCATTCTTTTATTTGAAAAAAAGAAGCTCTACCTTCACAAGAAAAATATGCTAGTAATTCTGTACTATAGGTCATGTTTATACAGGATTAGAATTTATATGTGCTTCTGCAGATAATTCTGGGATTCGCTTCTGTTAATGCATTTAGATATCAATAGGTTGTGAACATACAGAAAGGTTTGGTTCTTGAAGAAAATTATATGCTTATCTGAATGGAGGCAGATATTTGTTGCATTAATATCTCTTGTCTGAAAATTGCTGAACTATAATTATACCCTAACTAAGATATAATCTAAACTATTAATATGCCTGTTTCTTTCCAAATTAGCTGCATTGACTTTTTCTCTTTAGGAGAGATTCATGTTTTATAAATTCTGACTTGTCTCTTTTGTAGTACTAATTCACAGTAGAGCTGAAGCAGGGATTTTGTTTTGCTAGTGAAACCTGCTTTTATTGACCACTTAATTAAAAAGCACCTTTATGCATTTTGGTGATCTTTTAGCCTTTGGGTAGGCCAGATCTTTCCGGGGAGTATGCATTTTTGGGAATAGCGACCATTTTTCTTAACTTTGTTTTCCATAATGTGCAACCTAGTGGCATCTCAGCTGGTAAATGAGAGAACTGTTCATTCTTCTGGGGGGGGGGAGTACAATGGAAATGCTTGTGTGTTTCTGTTTTTGTTTCTAAAACACAAAACAACAAACAGTGAACAAACAAGAAACCCTTCCAAGAATGTAATTGTTTTAAAATATTGAATATGATGTCATTTTGCAAATAGTCAACTTACTGATAATGGCTAAGTTCGGTCTTTTTTGTATGATATAGAGTAGGAGTTGACAGGTTGGATAATTCTTAACACAGATTTGTATCTTTCTGTATTCTAGACAACTCTGCTGAAGCAGATTTTTAGTTGCTGAACAGTTGTACAGTAAAAAATCCCGCTGAGGACCACTTCAGAAACTCAATCAAGTAAGTTGTTTCCCTAAAAAGATACTTAATTATCAATGAATATTGCATGTTTTAATTTTAAGAGCTTCATATTTTCAATCTAGAAGTAATTTTGTGGTTTTTGGAGCGAGAAGTGTGCTGAGTTTGAGTGTTACAATGGTGAATTCTCTAGAACGGATTTGTGAGGTGCAGTGTATTTTTTTTTTTTTTTTAATTAGCTATAACTTACAAGTGATTGTCAATACACTTATTCAGGAGAACTGCTGACCTTATTTAGGTAGGGGCTTCTATATCACTTTTCAAGATAATGTTGTAATGTTCTTCTGAAGAGTTGAATATTTGTTTTTTCAAAAGTGTGAATTATTAGGCTGTTCCTTTTTTCCTCTACTTAAATTTTACATAATCAGGCCCTTCTAATTAAAAGGGTATCAAGTACATACTTAAAACTAACTATTTCACTATACATTTTCTTAAAAGGTGAACTGGTTAGCCTGTAATAGAAGTCTTGTGAAGAATGTGATTTATTTCTCTAACATTTCGATGATGTTGAAAAATATGACATGGTAGGGACTTCTGCCTCTGACTTCCACAAAAGTATAGTTGTGATGAGAGTAACTGGAAAACCTGTACACTTACAGCTGTCATTGCCCAGTATAAATAAATATTGTGGTAAGTTTCTTGTAGATTTTACCTTTAGTAAACAAGTGTGGCTATTTATGCAGTCATTTTTTTAGTGTGGTGCACTGCAGATGGACTGTTTGTTGAAATCCGTTTTGGTTAGAAAAACATAGTTCTTAATAAGCAGTTGGCATGCTGAGGAAGGTAGAGAGGAGAGAGAAGCTGGATATAAACTGTCTGCTTGCAGTGCTGGAGTTACTAACAGCGTCCCAGGGCTGTAACCTGGAACAGAAACCATTTGCCGGCAGTAGGTGGCACAGCAGAAGTTTCCTCCACCCCTCAGAGGGCTTCACTCCCTGACTGCTGGTGTTGCAGTTGGTGATGAGATGGGCTTTTTGGCTTTTTTTACTGTTGCCAAAAAAAAAAAAAAAAACTATTCCCAGAATACTTCCAGTTAGTGTGTGTTGGCCAACAGAACTGATGACAAGATCTTTTCCAGTTCAGTTGTGGCCATCTTTCTGTTTCACTAATCCTCTGCCAGAATTGATGTGGTATGGTGTGTGTCCTTTAACCAGTAGAATGGAGTTGGTTAAGAAAGAGGGTCTAACTAAAAGCAAATGACCAAAAATATTTCTTTGAACTTCATGTTTCCGTTGCCACTCTATTAATGAGCCTGATGTTATTTGTAGCCTGGGTTTATTCTTCTTTTTCCTTACTTCTCCCTATACTCTTTCTGTTCTGACACACGGATACTCTGGTTGTTCTCCATTTCTTCTCTTTGCTGAGAGTCACTCCTTTCCTGTAGCACGCATTGTTTGTTCTCTACTCTTGGATCCTGGCAGTTCCTAATTATGGAGAAGGACAACTTTTGTTGTTGTTTCTGACCATTTTTTATAATGTTCATTAAACGTAGGGGAGGGAACCATATGTGGGTGCTCTTTTATGGGACTTGGAGCTGAAAGATTAAACATCCTTCATCTCAGAAAAGAGCAACTACTACTGTGTTTGGGTTTTACAGTAGTGAGGAAAGCTTGTATCTCTAAAGAACACAACTTCTCCCAAATACATCTTAATTTGTTACAGCAACAAACCCAGTGCATGAAGTTTGGGTGATACAAAACTGACTGCCATTATATCCAATCATAACAGCTTGTTGATAGCTATAGAGAACTTTGTTTTTCTCGGTTGAGTAACAAATTAAACATTTAGTATGTGGATTGTCAATGCAAACATACTTTGAATGGAAAAATTAATACTCAGCACAGTAAGATTCTTCTTTCAAATTAAAAAAAATTCAGGCTGAAAGTGTTATATAGCATTATGAATGTCAAGTGGGAGAAGTATTTCAGTTTTGTTTATTCTGTGCCCTCTGCCACAGTTTCTGCTACGTAACTTTCCTTGCATATATGACATTAAAATGGACTGATTCAAACCAGCAATAGTGTGTTCACACACTACAGTACAGTTCAGAATGACTGTCTGAGAAGCTGATCCCTCACTAATACTGTGTGCCAAAGGATGCGTCAGAACCCAAGTCCCATAGGTTCAACCTTTTTTGATCTGATGTTCTTTTAAAAACAAAGCAAAACCACACCAAGCCACTCCCAAACTCTCTGAACCTTTGCATTGGATGTGCAGATGTGTACATAGCTGATACAAGCCAACTGACAGTATAAACTCTGTGCCTTTTTGTATAGCTCGTAGAAGTAGTGTGCTGCTCTTCAGTATCAATAAAATTGAAGCTGCTGAGCTGGGGTGACGATATGGAGGGCAAAGAGTTGCTTAAAGACCATTAGCTTATGGATGGGAATTGAGAGCTTTTCCTGTGCAGATTTTATTCTTGGTTGGTTAATTGTAAAATAAGATTAAAGGCAGAGATAGGCAATAGTACTAGAGAATTTGCAGTATAATTAAGTAGGTGGAGTTTAAAAAATAATAATTAGTATCCTTCAAAAAAATGAAGGTTAATTCAAGGAAAAGTAGGAAATAAAGAGAATAAACTAAAGCAGATAACTTCCATCAAGCAGGTTTATGAGGACTAATATGACTGTGTAAATTAAATACCTAGGGAAAGAAAAAGAATCTCTTGAACAAGTAAAAAGAAGCAGAAGAAGGAAGAAACTAACATAAGAAGTAATGAGGAAAAGAACACCACAGAGAGACAGTCCCCATTTGGTATAGGGGGGCTCAGTTATGTTGCAGTAACTCTGTTCTTGTGTTTTAATACTTTGTTAAATATCACAGAATATGCATTATCCCTAGCCCTAGCTTCCCAGAATTCACAAGTGCATGTAACCCCATGGCTGAAAACACTTGCAATGAAAGATTTGCTAGTAGCTGGTTTTGGCAGGATCCTACCTTAGGATACGAGGAGCAGGAGACGGTCTGTTGTTTAAATGGCTCCAATTTGCAGCTGTTATGAAATGAGAACATGCACTTCTCGGAAGGGGGAAGGGAGAGCGTGGAGTACAGGGGGGAGAGGGAGACAAGGGCACAGGAGCTAGTGTGGGTGTTTGGTATTACTTGTGCGGTTGGTAAGCAATCACTTATCACATGGTATATGTAGAGATGAAGGAATTATGTCCCTTTGTCTGTCTCTATGATGTAACAGTGTAGTATAGATAGCACTACACATACAGAATCACAGAATGGCTGAGGTTGTCAGGGACCTGTGGAGATTGTCTTGTTCAACCCTGCTCAAAACAGGGACAACTAAAGCCAGGCGGCTGAGGGCTGTGTGCAGGCAGGTTTTAAGTATCTTCAAGAGACTCCACAAATGCTCTGGGCAACCTGTTCCAGTGTTTGACCATCCTTGTAGTAAAAAAGGCTTGTCTTAGGTTTAAACTTCATATCTTGTATTTCAGTTTGTTGCCTTGTCCTGTCACTGGGTTCCACTGTGAAATGCCAGACCCTGTTATCCCCTCTCTCTCCCATCCCCCTCCCCATCAGGTGTTTATATACATTGATGGGATTCTCCAGACCCTTCTCTTCTCCAGGCTGAACAGTCCCAGCTCTCTCAGCCTCTGCTTGTATGTCAGATGCTCCAAACCTTTGATTACCTCTGTGGCCCTTCCTTGGGACCCCTTGCAGTTTATCCCTGTCTCACCTGTACTGGGGAGCCCAGAACTGGACCCAGTGCTCCAGATGTGGCTCTCGCCAGTGCTGAGCAGAGGGGAAGGATCGCCTCCCTCCATCTGCTGGTGATGCAATGCCTAATGCAGCCCAGGAGGCTGTTGGTGGTCTTTGCCGCAAGGGCTCATTGCTGGCTTGTAGTCAACTTGGTGTCCACTGGTACCCCCAGGGCCTTTCCTGCTAAGTTGCTTTCCAGTTGGTCAGCCCCATCCTGTCCTGGTGCATGGGGCTTTTCTTTCCCACGGGCAGGACTTTGCACTATCCATTTGTTGAACTTCATGAGACTTACACATTATGTTAGTTTAAGAAAATCTCATTTTCATTAAAATTGATATTAAAATAAGCTCTATAAAGAAAATAATTCATTTGGGTTAACTCAGTGTTTATTGTGAGTGATCTACTTGTCCTTGTAAAGATGTGACTTTTCTTGGGTATGTTGTGTAGGCTTTTAGAAATACACTCCTGCAATGAACTTCTCTTCTGAAAGAAAAAGCAGCGCTTTTGTTCTGTCAAGGGCTTTTATTTTGGTCGGTGATGGATATACCTATTGTGCTTTAGTAAAGTAGTTGCTGGGCATTCTTGGGAATTAGCAGCTTTTGGAAAGATCCAGGAGTGTTGAATCCCTCTGATGTGTGGTTTGTTTTTTTGTTTTGTTTTTTTTTTTTTTTCCCCTAGTGGTATTGAACTCTTGCTGAAGTGGTGGGTTCCCCTGGTAGGGAAAGCATGCCATGGAAAATAGCTCTCTACCCTGGCCTGTTCTTACAGTCTTAAGTATCTGTGAATGGCTACAACCCCAGATAGGGTGTTAGTTTATTGGTCCTTCATCTTGTGCTTTTTAATTGACCTGTATACACAGATTTAAGCAGAAGGATTTTTGAATTTTAAGTTAACAGTTCAGAAAAGCCTGACAAACCTAAAACACAAGCGTTAGTATCTTTGCTATACTACTCATACAGAAAGTGCCCCTGAAAACACATTGTTCAAGGTGCTATGTTGAACAGAATAACTGTGGCGTTTTTAAAGCCTGTAATGACATAGTATCTCAAATACAGTTTTGTGGAATCAAGTGCATTGAGGTGGGTTGGATTCAAGGACCTTTACCTTATCTGGAGGTAGCTTTTGTCTGCTACCACAATTGGTTCTGTCAGTGCTGGTTTTTTTTATCCTGTAGTTCAGTTAATCAGAAGTTAAAGGTATTTTATGGAATGGGATATGTTTTCCCTTTCACATTATTTCTTTTAACAGTGGCAGATACTTTCTTTCTACTAGTC